TCAGGCACATTTGTGTTTGTTCAACTCCCACAGAACCAACCTGTGGTTTATACTGCAACTATACTGAGCAAACCTTAGTTACAGTTTCTGGGACAGAGAGCATGTTATCTAGTATGATCAACAATCTGAACAACGCCATCACACTCAAACCTTCAACCACAATGACATGTAACTTTGTGCTAGAACAGCTATCGACAAACCACAAGTGTTCTGTCTACCCAGTTTCACTCACAAGGATTGAGTCAACCAGTGGTGTGATTTTCCAAAGATGCTGCACACCGAGATCGTCACTCTCCAGACCAATAATGTCAGGAAGTCCCCTTCCTGGCAAATCAACTGTGGTGAGATTTGAACCTGAGTCTCATGGTCATTGCCTATGCCTATTGCCTACCACTACGACAAGGACCAGTTCATTAGGGTTACCTGCTAGATTGTCCTACCCGGTTACAGTAGTCAACAACCACTTTGCTACTTATCCCTTTCTTTATATCAGGTTGATATGCCATAAAACAAAACAATCCAAACACACACACACATACATACAGTGGGGGGAAATAAATATTCGTACACATGAAAAATTGTATTTTTATAAATGTAAAACCCTTAACTAAAACAAACTTTGATACATTTTATGTGTAAAGACACATTTTATTAAAAAAAATTGTAATAAACTTAATTAATTCTTATTCTAACAGAAATTAATACATTTTTTTTTTCATTTTAACTGATGAAAAAAGTATTCATACAAAACAAAATAGCAAATTAACTTAATTTAATATTTTGTGGAATAACCTTTATTGAGATCAACAGCTACCAGTCTCTCCCTGTACACCTCAACTAATGATTTGCACAGTGGTATTTTGTCCCATTCTTCTTGGCATATTGTCTTCAAATTCTTGATATTTGTTGGTGCTCTTTTCCCAATTTGAATTTTCAAATATCACCATAAATTCTCGATTGGGTTCAAGCCTGGGGACTGACTTGGCCATTGCAAGACATTAACGTTACTTTCAGCTAATCATTTCCTTGTAGATCTAGCGGTATGCTTAGGATCATTATCCAGTTGGAAAACCCAATCTGGAGGTAGCTGAAGTCTCTCAACAGAACGCATTAAATTGTCTTGCAGGATTTTCTGGTATCTTTCGGCATTCATCTTGCCATCTATTATTGATATTCTGCCAACACCTTTTGCAGAAAAACAGCCACCACCAAACTTTACAGTTGGCAACATATTCTTTGGTAAGTAGGCTTCACCGTCCTTCCTCCACACATGATTTCGATAATTATGAGCAAACAACTCTATTTTAGTTTCATCTGTCCATAGTACTTTTTCCCAAAATGAATATTCTTTATCCTTATGCTCTCTAACGAATTTTAGCCTAGCATCTCTGTGTCATCTCAAGAGGAGTGGAGTCTTCCTTGGGATGCGTGATTTCAGACTGTTTTTGTGTAGTTCATTACTTATTGTATGCTTGGTTACTTTAATCCCTAATGCATGCAGATGTTCCTGCAGCTCTTCTCGGGTAACCTGTGGATTTTGTTGGATCTGGTGTCCTAATATCCTTGCTGATCTTAGAGAAATCTGCCTTGGAGCACCTGTTCGCCTTTGATTTTCGACGCTGTTACAAGTTTTAAACTTTGCAATGAACGAAGCAATTACAGTAAAAGGAATATTCAGGTTTGTAACTGTTTCCATCTTTCCAAAGAGACAAAATGTGTTGTTTTTGTGAAATAGTCAATTCTTTACCTTTAGGCATTATTAGAACCTTCTCGTAAGACTAGAAATTGCAGAATGCTCTGATAATGGCTAATAGTGTTAACTATAATTACTGATAACATTAATGGAACATTCTAGAATATACTTTTTTCATAATTGATTATTTTATTCTAATAAGCGATTTGTACGAATACTTTTTTCACTAGTTAGAATTAAAAATATGCATTAATTTCTGTTAGAATAAGAATTAATTAAGTTTATTATTATTTTTTAATAATATGTGTCTTTATACATAAAATGTGCCAAGATTTGTTTTATTTAAGGCTTTTACATTTATAAAAATACAATTTTTCAAGTGTACGAATATTTATTTCCCCCACTGTATACATATATATATATATATATATATATATATATATATATATATATATATATATATAAGTCAGATATTCAAGCACAAAGGCGTTACACAAATAAATATAGGAAACAAACTCTGGCACATTGGTCAATTCGCTATTAGCATAAGCAATTAATGGAAATGGGGAGAGTTCTACATAAAGCGAGGACAGGAAGGCCAAGAACATCTGAAGATATTGAATGTATCCATCAGTTATTTCAATGTTCTTCATCTAAGTCCATATGTACTGCTTCTGCTCAACTGCAACTACCAAGATCAACAATTCTTGAAGTGTTCCATAAGAATCTGAGTTTTTATGCATATAAAATTCAATTATTGCAAGCAATTAATGTAAATAACAAACTGCAATGAAAAGAATTTCCTGTTACAATTTCACAAAGAATCGAAGAAGATAACTTCCTTAACTGTATTTGCTTTACAGATGAGGCAACCTTGTATGTGTTTGGTAAACTTAACAAGCATATGTCTATATTTCTGAGATGATGTATTATGTACACTATTTACATTATTCGGGCTATTGTCCTCATCTTTGTTGAGATCGCTATATTTATCACAATGTTTCGGCCGTTGTACACTCTGGCCTTCTTCAGGTGGTTGGAATATTGAACTGAACCATTTATTTCACTCTGGGGTAGACTGTTCTAGTTCTACGTGCCATGTTTAATAGATGTCAGTTATCAGTTATCTCCTGTTAATTCCCCTCTGCAAGTTCCCCACTGCCTTAACTGGGTATTGAACTCACACTCTTTGGGTCCTGTCAATGGATCTAACTAAGGGCTTTATCCACTGTGCTATGTGTCATCTGTGTATGAATTTCTAGGTATTATAAACCTAATGTCATCAGCAACCATTTTTAACAGTGCTCATATTGCAATTTTTGCTGTTATCATCCCATGATTTTACCAGAGCTTATATTGCAATTGTAGCTGTTATTATCACTTTTCTCTGGCACTCCTTATTAACAAGCATAATGCAAGAATTTGGAGACTAAAAAATCCACACATTGCTAGAGAAACCGAATATGACAGATCAAAGGTCAATGTGGGATGGTGCGGGATTTTGTGCAACAAAGTTACTGGACCTTTTTTCTCTTTGAAAAAGACAGTAGCAGCTTTTAATTACTTTGATGATCAAAAAGAATACATTATGCCATGATTTGTAGAGTTCCATCCAAATGTCATCTTTCAGCAAGATAGAGCACCATCAAAACATATAATAATTATTAATGTGCATTTATTTATTTTTCCTGTCCCATCTGTAGTGGTAAGGGAGGTAAATCGATTTAAGTTAGTAAATTTGTCAATGATTACTTCCCTTAGTCATTTTAATAATCTATGCAAATAAAATATTTATATACATTTAGAAAAAAAATAGTCCCCAAGCAAAATAAACTGTTTAATTAATCTGTTCCTTTACTCTTATGTTTTTTAGATTGCAGTCTTATTTGTTCAAGCCTTTCATGTGAGGCACTCAGATACCTTTGCCTATTAAGTGATCATCTTGCTTTAACTCGGTGTTGAAATAGGCTTTGTCATTTTTTCACTAATTTTTTTTTTCTTCCAAGAAATGTATTTCATTTCACTGTTATATTAAACATAAAATTTTTAACATGAAAAGATATTGGGCAAGAAGTGATTTATATAATAGCAAGGGTAATCAATGAATCATAGATACTATTGAAGATCTAAAAAATATAAAGGGAATGGATTAATTAAACGGTTCATGGGCCTCTATTTTAATTGCAAATTCTTTATCTCTGCTTTATTGAATCAGAATACATTATTTCAAAAACTTTGTTTCATTGCATCTCACTATTAAAAGTTTCTAAAAATTGCTGTCATTTTTTATGGCATGGGTACACTTATATATATATATATATATATATATATATATATAATAGCATTTAAGTTTATGTAATGCTCAATATTAAGCATTTTTTTATATTTTGATAATTCTATTTTTTCTGATGGTTTTTGAGTGATGATGATTGGGTTTTCTTTTATCTTGCATTTTAACAAAGAAAAAAGAACTGCTATGTAATATCAATCTTTCCATATGACAGTGAATACCGGACCATTTCCTGGCAGATGAAGATGAGACTCAAAACAACAGAGATTTGCAAAAGGATGCTGAGGATACCATAGATGGAACATGTGAGCAACAAGGAAGTCTTAAAGAAAATGGAAACAAAAAAGTCATTTATACTTAGAATCAGAGAAAAAGTTGAAATTTCTGGGATGCATAATAAGGAAAGAGGCCTAGTGAATTTAACACTCACAAGATATACTGAAGGTATGAGAAGCAGGGTGAAACTGTGAGTAACCTGCTTAAGAAGTTTGGTTTGGTTTGGTTTGGTTTGGTTTATATTGTTTTACGGCATATCAACCTCAATGGGTTATTTAATGCTGACAAAATTTTTTATTGCTGGTAATATTTTGTTTTGTCAAAAATCTGTTTCTGATAACATTTTTTCTTCAAAATTGTATTGCTGGTAATAATTTTTTCAAAAAGTATTGCTGGTAATAGTTAACTATTTTCCCATAACTGGAACCCTAACAGGTGCTACCACCCAGGGTCAGGGTGGACCTGGGAACACCAGCAATTAAGAGGTGGTTCCACGCTCCTCGAAACCTCCTGATCAGACGCCTTGCTGCTGGACATAGTTTATCGTCTTACCAGGATGCGGATGTAGTTTAACGTCTTACCCAGGATGGCTTAAGAAGTTTATGTGAATGGATTGTAGAACAGGAACAAAAAGTTAAAAATTACTTCAAAGAACAAAAAACAGGAAGTTATCAGAAGCAACTATCAGCCATGTCCTGAAAAAAAGAAGAATCAGCAACTGATTGTCATCCACCACTGAGCTTATGACCATATCACAATGAAACATGAGTTCCTGTATGATCATCAAAGTTAAGCAATGTCAAGCCTGGTCAGTATCTTGATGGGTGACAGCTTGAGAATACCAGGTGCTGTAACCTTGGATGTCCAGGTGGTTTAATAACAGCTCAGAATTGGAGATCGGAGAGCCAAGTTCCAATTCCAGTCAGGTTCATTATATTCACTTACACACAAATACTCTTGGGAAAGGTATGAATCCACCTCTTCTCCCCACAGCTATGGGTTAACTAGGAGGGCTTGTTTCAGTTAATTATTATTATCGCCAAAAAAATTCTTACAATCTAAAAATATTTCCTGACTCTAAACAACCTGTAAAAGGTTGATAAACTATAAAAATCAATCACTCCACCTCTGAGCTTTATTCCAAAGAACAGGTTGCTACTCTTAAACAGAGCAAACCATTTTGAGGCAGTATGATCATACACTCTTTCATTTCTATTTTCCAAATTCTTCATGTTGCTTTGAGGCTCAGTTTAAAACAAAATTGCCAGATTAAATTCTTTGACTATTTTGCCAATAGAAAATGATCTTGTAAAGAAAATAGGTGTAGACACTGCCATGAAAAGATATGCAGATCTAAAGACTAGAAAAAAGGTTTTAGGCAGGATAATGAATGTTTTGTATATTGTAATAAACTCGTTATTCTACATTTTCAGTTTTTCTTGTAAAAATTAAAAAGAAAATACTTATAAAGATACCGAATTTCATGTTGCTTTGAGACTCAGTTGAATATATTGCTACAAAATTGTTTTCTTTCGCTTGTATTAAGTTGTATATTTTAATAAACACATTATTCTACATTTTCAGTTTTTCTTGTGAAAATTTAAAAGAATTATACTTAGAAAGATACCAAAGTTTAGGTTGCTTAGTACCATTGCTGTATATATATTTGTGTGTGTGTACAAATGTGTTTACTAATTCTTCATAATAAGACAGTGTGTATGTATAGAGAGGGAATATACATATATACATGCATGCTGACAAAAACACAAGAAAATGGAAATAGATCTAAGAATACACAGTGGTCATTAAAAGATAAGAATGGCGATAACTCCTTCACCATTTCTCAGACCAATCCTAATTGTTTTATAACCCTTCATGCAGAACTTTTCACTGCCAGTTCAAGAAAGACATTTGGGTCACTAACACACAAAAAAGAGAATGTCTAATATCGAGAATATTTAACATCAAAAAACATAAGAAAAAAATTATTTTTAATAATATGTGGAAATCTCCATGTTTTGCCTGATGACAGTCGCGAGACCGAAAACTCATGTAGCAAAATTATGAAAAATAAGGCATAATATTTAAGAAAAAAAAAAATCCACATTACAACCAAATATGTTTGGGGTTTCTCTCTTATTTTTAATATATATATATATATATATATATGAAGAAATATAGTCTTAAGGTGTGCTATATTTATGGGATAAAGTGCTCAATATCAGAGATAGAGCGTGTGTAAATATAAAAGTGAACATTGAAGTCAACACTTAGAGGCGACAGTCTGTTTCATGCTATATGCAATCATCAGGCCATTGTGAAACAGACTGTCGCCTCTAAGTGCTGACTTCTATGTTCACTTTTATATTTATATATATAAATATATATATATATATATATCGGGTGTAACAGCAAAATTATCCAAATCGTGTAACAGGTTTCTTTTTCCCATATATATAGGGCTGGCTCAAGATACTGCAACTAGGGTAGTTGCCTGGAGTGCCATCATGTCATGTGTTTGGGATCTTCCAAAACTAATATAAGAACATACTCGCGGTTATCCATGACTGAAGACAGATTAAATTGTTTGACTATTTTGTCAGTAGAAAATGATCTTGTAAAGAAGATGGGTGTAAAAAGTGTCATGAAAAGATTTGCAGATCTAAAGGCTAAAGAAAAGGTTTTAGGTAAGACAATGAATGTTTTCTTTAATTTGTATTAAGTTGTGTATTGTAATAGACTCGTTATTCTACAGTTTTTCTTTTTGTGAAAATTTAAAAAAATTATACTTGTCAGGGTGCCAAAGTTCAGCTTGCCTGGGGTGCCAACAACCCAGTTTGCCATACATGAGGGCTGATATTATAGAAGAATCCACTACTCTTTTCTTTATTTCTAACAAAATTTTCCTGTCTCTTAATACTTTGCTTAACTTTTAGAAGGAATCTTCTTTTTTTTATTTTAATGCACCTTCAGATTTTGCAGTCTCATTTTTCTGTCCTCTGTTAAAATGCTTCCTAGAGATTAAAATTTTTGTATTTGCTTGATTTTTGGTCTCTCCAATTTGTAAATTGTAGTCAATGAAAAAGAAATTAAAGACTGAGTTACAGTAAGAATGGATGAATACGTTTGTCTTTTTTTTTTTTTTTAGTTTTGTGATAAACTAATAAATGGTTGTGGTAAGTCAACATTACTTGTGAGAGTTCACTTGTAGGTCAGTCTGCCTGGTGAAGACCATTTGATGAGTTCTTCCAAAGATCAATCAGAAGGCATGTGAAATTTCTGATAAAAGGAATTGCAAAAGATGAAAACTTTCATGCAGTTTGAGTTCAGTGAGAAAAGAAAACAACAAAAAAACATGTGTGTCAGTTATTTGTTGAGCTCATTACACTTGTGTCTGGAGTACATGGCCCTGGCTAATGATTTAAATTTCAAAATCTTTTTCAACTTACTCACTCTTATCACATCCTCTCAATTTATTTTTTCAACATGTATGTTCTAACCAGTTCGCTTATTTCAACCTCCTATCTCTCCATTTTTTTTTTCCCCTGAAACAAACTAATTTTGAATGAATTTTCCAACCTACCTTTCTATTCCTTATCTGGATACTAGATAAAGCAAGGCAATGTAATACATGGCTCAGAGATACGGTATATTCAATCTCAGACCACCATAATAAAAAGAAAAGCACAATGAAGCAAGTCAAATAAACTTTTACATGTGTCATATGAAAGTTACGTCTGTGCTATATTGTAATAACGATATCAAAATAATGACAACCACACCCAAAACTATTATGCATATGATCAGAACCAAAAATATCCATAACAATAATATTTCTGAAGCAGGTAGATATAAAATAAATCTGTCACAATTTTCCTTTAAAACATATTGGGGAAAATTGGAGAAATTTAAAAAAATCTATTTATGAACACAAAAAATTCTCATATATGACAATTTATCAAATGCATTATTCATGCACTACAATAAGCTCAACCACAACTTCAATCAAAAGAATGTCCCATTTATTAAAAGAGAAAATAACTTACTTAGAAGGAAAGTTCTTGAGAGTGCAGTTATCAATTCTTTCTAAAATGTTAACTTACGCCCTAAATGTTTTTTTTCAAATATCTCCCTTCTTAACAAAAAATAATCTTTTCCAATGGCAACCTATATGACCAAAAAAATTTTTATAATTAATAAAAAAACAGTTAACTCAAAAGCTTCTATTATTTAAAATAAATAAATAATTCATCAAATTAAAATTTAATAATAAATAACAATTACATTAAAAAATAAATATAAATAAGAAAACATAATTCAACAACATTGACTCACTTTTGTCATGACTTAATAGCCTCCATAGTTTAACTTTACTAATTCATTATAATGGATTATAATTCATTATAATTACAATTCATTATAATGAATTGTAATTCATTATAATTACAATTCATTATAATGAATTACAATTCATTATAATTATAATTCACTATAATGAATTGTAATTCATTATAATTATAATTCATTATAATTATAATTCATTATAATTCATTATAATTATAATTCATTATAATTCATTATAATTATAATACATTATAATTCATTATAATTATAATTCATTATAATTTATTATAATTATAATTCATTATAATTATAATTCATTATAATTATAATTCATTATAATTCATTATAATTATAATTCATTATAATTCATTATAATTATAATTCATTATAATTTATTATAATTATAATGAATTATAATTATAATTCATTATAATTATAATTCATTATAATTCATTATAATTATAATTCATTATAAGAATATTCAGCTCATTCTTAGATTTAAAAATTTTGAAAACTTTATATTTTTACTTCTATTTATAAATACAGGCTGCAAAATAAAATCCTTTCATGATTGTGATAATGTCCCTGTGGACAAAATGTCTTAGAAAAGAAAAGTTTTCAATTTGTTTTTATTCATTTTGTAGTATGTTAAATATGCATTAACATTTGGTCTAGTTTTAACAATATTGCCTACTCTTGTGCCCAGAAAAAAAGGACCTTGCTAGCAATTTGATTTTTTTTCCAACTTACCCACTCATTTTTTGTTAATCATTTCACCTCAAGCAGGGCTATAAAAACAACCTAAGCACAAGGAGTAACCAAGTGTGAAATAAACTAAGGAAACATTATTGAGAAGAAAGGACAATAAAAGAACAGGGTTCAAGGAGACAGAAGATGACGATTGGCATTGCATTTAAAATTTGAAGATCTTAGTTGTCAGGAAAGCAAGAAGCCAGAAGAGAGTTCCACAACTGAGAAGTGTGAGAGAAGAAACTATTAGCATAGTACTTATGCTTATATCTAGCAGTTTCATCAGTGAAATTGTGAGACCTAGCTGCCAATCTAGTACTGTGCATAAATTCATCAAGTTGAGTAACAAAAGAGGAATGCTCATCAGAACAATTACCATGAAAATATTTATAAAAAAAAAAGCACAGGGAAGCTACATTATGGCAGTCAGAAAGTGACTGAAGCCAAGATGCCAAGTCCGAACCAATACCCATTTATTTTATTTTTCTAGTTTTTCCCTTCAAGATGTGTGTGATCATGGATCTCCACAATTTCCTATACTTTGTATATTAAACAATGTTTATCTTCTTACTCTCCCTCCCTTTTGTACTAACCATATAGAATTTATGTATTAGCTAGATAACTTGCTGTTTCAATTTGCATCATGTGCCTTTAGTATATCCTGTGTGTAACAAATTCTAAAAGCTCTCTTTCCTCATTATGTGTCATAAAGATTTCAAGTACAAGTGTCTTTTTCATTTCCCTTTTCCTTAAAACTTCC